TAGTACATTTGGTTACGCTAATCAGGCAAAAAGAGAGCCATTTGTCAGTAAAAAGTAGTACCTGCGTTTCAATTACGAGACTGCCGAAGACGCTCTGCACGAGGTTGGTTCGATCCAGACAGTCGACACAGTTCACTCGGAATACGTCATCCTGCTTCGAAAGTAGACCATTATTTGTGAGCCTTAGAGCAAAAAGGAAAGAATAAAAGGTTGACGAATGCACAGAATGAGAAATGGCGGCTTAAAAAATCCACTCAAGGAAGATGTGGGGAGCTCAGCCGGCATGCAGTCTGAGGTGTCAAATACTCTGACCAGTCACCTGCACGTACGTTTGGCAACAATGAAGCAGATGTGTGCTGCCCCTACCTCACATATTATTCCAAAACCCGGCGTACTACGATGGCTAGACAAACTTCAGACGAACGAATATCGCCACGCACGTGAATACAGAGACCAAAAAAGCGTACGATTGTCAAATAATCCCATCTCTAACTCAAAAAGTACTATGCCCCTATCGCACAAAGGTGAATGTGCTGACTGACGACCATCCTTTGAGTAGAGTATACCGGCTGGTTAAGAGAATGGGTGGAGCTTTCCAGACCCACTGCCGCCAATAGTCATGGGTGGAGAGGTACCGTACGTGACATCATCGAGGCCGGCTAGATCAGGCATGCTCACAGCCGAAACAAGCACAAGTAAGCAAGCGACAGTGCTACCGGAGCGCGGAGCGCTGAGGTCCAGTACACCGACTACCTCAAAATGACGGAAATGTGACTTGGCCAGCGTGAAACGCTATTAAATAGATTTGTTTGCCACGGCTGCTTTGTGGTTCGATTCTTGAGCCAAAGAGCTAGAGAAGGCAACCCCTAAAAAACAATCCGAGCGGCTGTTGTGGGCCAGCCTTTATTCAAAACTCCCAAGAACCTTCATGAAAATGTCGAGTACTGGCGTGGCACAAAATCAACAGCACAGTGGGTGGTCCAATTTAAAAAGCCCTGAGAAGGGAAAAGCAACTCACTTCCTCGATGGCACGAGGCGTGCTCAAGAGACGAATATCGCGTGCCTAGTGAATTGCTCTAGACACGGTTCTCCGAAATGATTTAAAGCAACAAACATAGCAATCATCCCCTCGTCGATGCAGCCGCCCGCGTGAGGCAAAGCACGCGGTGAGGATGAAAACTAAACCAGGGTGAGAGTGCAATGCCGAGCAATTAGTGCACTCGTTGTTTACAAAAACATCGGCGATTGGTAAATGGAGACGAAGCGAGGCCTAGCAAGACTAGTTAAAATCGGCGTGTCAAAACAAATTCAACCTTTTTAAGAGATACGGAAGCACGAAGATCGTTTGGTATAGACGCAGTTGAGGAAAAGACACTATTTTTGTCGCCTCTGAAGCATTTTAAGTGTCAACAACTTTAGCAAATGCTCTAACTGCGTCAAACCAAACAATTATTGCATGCGCTAGATAATTAATAGTAATAACAAGAGTTTCTGCACAGAAGTGAGTTCCGAAAAATAAAGGGAAACTGGAATGGCCATTTCCGGGATATTAGCAGTCATCAGCCAGCCATTCTGTTACAAGGACGGGATCTACGATGGAGTCGTGGCCCGAGGCGAGAGGGATATGTGACCACGCGCGCAATAGCAGGTCAAGCTGCCCGGCAAATAGACGCGGGAACCTAATCAGCCAATCAGAGCGTGCTGTTTCATCGAGTGCGCGTGCGCGGTCCAAATATGCCAGAAACATTCGCAAGGAGGTTCCAGCGCGAGAAACGACCAATCAACATGCGGCAGTTTGCAGGCCAGAAGGTTCCGGAACGCTCTCCGCAATTGGCCCGTCATTGAACGGAATGTGCGAAGAAGGTTGAAATTCCAGTAAAAAAGCTAGCGGTGATGAGCTAGAGATCCACTGTGTCTGCAAATAGGTGTTACCAGAAAACCGGTTTGCCTTCCCTTCTAGCACACTCCATCGTGATTGAACACATACTTTACAGAAGTCTTGCAGTACCCAAGATTCCGATCTGGG